AGTCAGTCTCGAATTCCTCATTGGAATCTCAACTCTGCCCATTTAGACTTAAAAGATTTATAAGACAAGCAGGGATACAGTATGAATTCCATCCTGTTAGCACCTACTTTTCACTTATTTTTACCACAAGAAGCGGTGTTTGTTAGAGGAATTCCTGCTATACTAATGCATCACTGAGGTCCAGGGAACCATGGGCCATTTGTGGCAGTGACACTGTGATGAATTAAAATGGCATCCCTCTCAGGATGAAGAAAAAGCATTGTATAATAAGAAACATATGTTCCAGAAACTCCTAGATTTGCTATCTTTTGGCAACAACTCCTAAGGTTTTATTTTTCAGAGTCACAAAGTGAAAGAAATAATTCTTTGGCCACTTCAGCTGCTGAAGTTTATACTGTTAGTATAATGCAGAGACAGCCTCTTTGCTGATTAAAAATATTATGTTTTGCTTTTGTCACTAATTCCATGAAATTGATCTTTGGATATCATGTGTGCTAGAGATCCAATTACTTTTCTTCCATGTATGGATGGAAGCTTCATTCACTGAAATGTGCAACCTTTCTCCAACATCTGCAATTCTTTTTCATAGACTGAGTTTCCACATATACATGGGTTTGTTTATGCATCACGATTCTGGTACTGTTCTGTCTTTTTCTATCCCTACACCAGAGCCATATGGTCTTAAATACTAATGCTTTTTAAAAAGTCTTGCTATATAGTGGGAAAAGTCCTCATAATTCATCCTTTCTCAAGAGTGACTTCTCTTAAACTTTGCAGGTCCATAATGGTTTTAGAAAAAGTCTGTACAGTTTCACAAAAAAAGAGACAGGGCATATTTTGATTAAGATTACAATGACTATATACAATGCGGGGGAGAATTAACATCTTTAATACTGATTTTGCCAATCTATAAACATATACTATCTTTCAATTTAATTAGATTTTTTTAAAGTTTTCACCATTTTCCATGTAAAGGTCTAGTCCATTTCCATTAGATTTAATTCCTCAAATAAGTACTTCATAGTTTTCAAATCTATTGTAAGCACTATCTTGTGCATTCTTATTTCATTTTCTCTTATTAGCTGGTATATTCAAACTCATTTGAATTTTATATGCTAGTTTTTATCTGGCAAATGCCAAATTTGTTGTTAATTCCAACAGTTTATCTGTAGATTCACTTGGATTTTCTGTGTATTAAACATATTCTGCTTTTAATGACAATTTTATTTATTTTCGATCCTTATACTCTCTACCTTTTCTAGACTTACTGTGCTAGCTTAGACTTACAGCACTATTGTGAATGTATGTGATGTTGGGAATCCTTATGTTGTTCCTAATTTCAATGGGAATGATTTTATTCTTTTCTTTCTTCAAACCCCAGTCTCCTGTGTGATAGGAGGCGATACTCACCACTAGACTAACAAGGACAAAGGGAATGTTTTGAGAAGATGCACTGGGTTCAAATGTGGCCCCGAAAAAGTATGTCCAAATGCTAACTTGGCTACTTATGAAATGTGACCTTATTTAGAAACAGAGTCTTTGCAAAAATAATTAAAATTATTGAGATAAGATCATCATATAGATTAAGGATGGGCCCTAAATCTGATGAACAGTGTCATTATAAGAGGCAGAAAAGGAGAAAATGCAGAGATGCACAGAGGGAAAGACCATGTTATGACAGAGGCAGAGATTGTAGTGATGTGTTTACAAGCCAAGAAACTCCAAGAAATGCTAGCAACCACCAGAAGCTGGAAAAGAGGCATGGAACAGATTCTCCCTCAGAGCCTCTGCAAGGAACCAACGCTGCCAACACTTTGATTTCAGACTCTTGCAGCTAGAACTGTGAGAGAATAAATTTCTGTTGTTTTAAGTCACCAAATTTTTTGTAATTTGTTGAGGCAGCTCTAGGAAACTCATACAGAAGATAACATGAGAGACTTGTTCAGTGACCTGGGGATAAGGAGAGATTTCTTAAATAAGACTCAGAAAGCACTAGCCATAAGGAAAAGATTGATATATCCTATATGTTAAAATTACGATCTTTTGAGCATTAAACGACACTGCAATGAAAGTCTAAGACATACCATAAAGTAGGAGGTATGCAGCATACACATCCAACAAAGTGCTAGCTCTAAAGTATATGAGGGTACTTGAAAAAATTCATGGAAAAATGGAATATAAAAGATAATATAAATTTTTCCATGAACCTTCTGAAGACCCCTTGTACTTATGTAAATTTACCAGGAAGTCAAACAACTTAGTAAGAAAATGAGCCCCCCCCCCCCAAAAAAAAGAATAAAAATTTCATAGGAAAGGCGACACAAATAGCTCAAGAAAAGATGATCAGCCTCATTAGTAATCAGAAGAATGAAAATTAAAACATAATGAATTACAATTTTGTACTAATCAGATTGGCAAAAAATGTAAGTCTGATAATATCAACTGTTAGCAAGGAAGTAAAGCAACTGGAAATCCTGTAAACTCCTGGAGAGAGCACAAATTGGGACAATCAATTTGGAGAGTCATTTGACATTTTCTAATAAAACTGTAGATGTACGTACCTATAACCCAGTAATTCTACTTCTAAGCAAATGCAGCCAAGAAACATGGATAAGAATGTTCACAGAAGTATTGTCTGAAATTGCCAAAAAATGGGAACAACCCAAATGTCTATCTACAATGGAATTGCAAAATAAAGTGATTCTATTCATATGAGGAAATATTGTCTACATATAAAAATGAATTAACTGCCACTATGTACACCAATATGCAAGTAACAACAAAAATATGTTTGGTATGATTCCATTTACATAAATTTCAAAATAGGCAAAATTAAACTACATTGCTTAGGGAAATATACGTAGTGGTAAAACTGGAAATAAAAGCAAGAAAAAGATGATCAAATCCATCTTGATAGTGGTTCACTGGGAGCAGGGAAGAGATGGGACAGGGTGAGGCATGTAGGGCACTTCTAAGGTCCCAGCAATGTTCTATTTCTGAGGCCATGTAGTAGTGTCAAAGGAAAACCAGAGCAGGGTAGGCGTCTACGGGATGGGAAATTACCAAAAGGAATATCGGGGTGAGGGAGATTCTGGCTAAAGAGACTTATCGGGATTCTCACTGAAGACAGGCCAGTGTGATCAGACAATCCATGGGGAATGATGGGAGATAAGAACCTGATTAGATATAGAGCGTGATCAGATATGAAGGATGGGGGATTTTTGTTAAACTGATTTAGCAAGGTTCTCACTAAAACTGGATTTTACAAGGCAGTGAACAGGTAAGATTAGGAGAAGGTTCAGGAGCCTGGTGAAAATTTGGTCAAGGAAAGAATCTTTGCCAGTAGTTACATGGATGTTTTCTTACAATTATTTTTAAACTACCGATATATGTTTTATATTCTTCTGTATGTATATTTCATAATTTTTAAAAAAATTATAAAAGGTTAACTGGAAGATGGATGGAAGGGAGACTATTAGGTAACGGAATTTGTAAGACATTATATATGATGTTAGGATTTTAGTTCTTTTTAAGTTTTTTAACTGCATTTCAAAGGGATTTTCATTCATTCATTCATTCACCTATTCAATATTTATTAAGCCTTTCTAGTTGTAGGCACCCTTTTAGATCCTAGGGCTACAAAGAAGAAGAACATGGTCTGTGCAATCAAATTGCTTAATATCTTATAAGGGAGACAACCAAATAGATAATTAACACATAGTATGGTGACTATATCGATAAAAGTGACAACCCCAAAAATCCACTCTGATAGATCAGCTAAGTTGTAGTGCCTTGAGAGATCTGGAACATGTCAGTAGTCATGTCCTATATCCTGGCAAATGTTATCATAAGACCATTTTACTTAGAAGCAGACAGACTGATGCCAGAATTAATAAAATAACCTAGAATGCTCCTCATAACCCTTACCCTAGATCCCTGCATGTAGGACGTAATCTAGTAACAATCCCAAATCTATACATCACATGACCAATAGAAAAACAGATGTATGTCTTCTTCCCTCCACCCCCCTTTTTTTGTGTATTTATTTATTTGTTTTTAGCTCCCACAAATAAGTGAGAACATGTGATATTTCTTTCTGTGCCTGACTTGTTTCACTTAATATAATTCTCTCTAGGTCCATACATGTTGTTGCAAATGGTAGTATTTCATGCTTTTTTATAGAATTACAATTCCTTGAAGTTGATACGACAAGCAAACAGAAAGGACATTGTTGGGAGGGACGGGGGGAGAGGGAGGTAGGAGGGAGTTTTCGGTAATGGGCCACAATAATCAACCACATTGTATATCGACAAAACAAAAAAATAAAAGGAAAACAGACATAATGATAAGGAGGGCTGTCCTCTTCTCTCTCCCTTGGTTCTTCCCCTTTCTTGTGATTATAAAATGCTAAGCTCTGCTGGTCCCCTTTGGAGCGCATTTCTCAGGGCAAACTAACCTATGCATTTCCCTGGTTGCAGTCTTCGTATAAATACTATGCTTTATATGGTTGGCCTCAGTTTCTTTTAGGTCACAACAAGTATGCAGAGGGGGAGAGTCAGAGGAAGTGATTCTGGATTCCTGAAATGAGCACTGAAGGATGTCTACACTAGATGAAGAAGAGAGGGTTATGGCATTCCAAGCAAGGGAAAAGCATGGACCAGGAAGGTAAGGAAACAGGCATTGACAGAACTACAAGGGAATTGGTTTTGCCAGACTACAGGCTACACATTAGGAAGTGGTGAAAGACTTGACTCAAGATGCCAGCAGAGGCTGGACTAAGACAAGTGTTGTATAACATATTAGTTAAAATTAGGTTTGGCTCTGAGTGACTGAATATCCAAAATAATAATGGCTTAAGAGAGACAGAGGTTTATTGCTTTGTCATGTACACCAAGTTTGAGCAGTTGGTTGGGGCTGCTGTGAGTCAAGGACTCAGACTCCCTCTCTTTTTACTGCTCCATGTTCAAACACAGCTAATAATTAGCACAACAGAGGCCTTCAAAATAAAGGTGGTTTTATTATAAAATTCTAAAAATGTGCTTTAAAGAACAGTTATGGGAATACTGCATATTAAGAAGAAACATATCTTCATAATCTAAACAATCACACAGCGGATTTTATATTGTCCATGGAATTAATACTTAAAAAACACTCTTCTTTTCAGTTAAGAAGCGTCTTCAGAGCACCATTATTTGAATGGAAGGTATTTTGCATATCAGAGTTCATCTTTGGTCTGCAATTAAGAAGCAAAATATTTAGAGCCATCAAGAAGTCTTATGTGAGTCAAGAAGACTGACGTTAGTCTATTATTTTCCCCTAAAGATGAGAGGAGGAAAAAAGACAAGTTACTGCTAGAGGCTTTTAGAGCCTAGAGCTATCTCTAGAGGGTTAGAATCACCCAAGGATAAAATCACACTGTATTTCATAGTGCTACTGATGGGGAAACCAAACATCCACAGGTCTGTATTATTGTAAAGCTCTTGTGTTATGAACAGTATCAGTGAAAGACTAGGGTAGACAATAAGCAAGAAATAAACAAGATTCTCATTCTGGCTCCTAATGTCTACTCATCGGTGGAAGATACTGATTTGGTACCTCCTCTAAATCACTTAGATAAAGATAAAAAATTAAGCAGGAGTGGAGGAAGAAATTTGCCCCATCTCCTTGGGGCCAAAGTGATAAGTGTTCTGATATCAAATCATGAACTTGATGAGGGGGCACCTTTTGATATGGCAATTCCCGTTTTGCCATTGGCTTTGACTGATTTTATGACCTTGCAGCAGGGACAGGGGTTAATTCTGACGACGTATCACTTCTGAGGGCTCATTAGTTAGTGGTAAATCGGTTCTCCAAAAAAAAACCCCAGACAACCAAAACAACTAAAATTCTGTTTTGTAGCATGTGCTGATTGTCATGGTGTACATATTCCACCAGGCTGATTCCAAACTACCAAAAATTTAACTAGTGTGCAAAATTCCTGAATATTTAACAACAGATGAGCTCCTATGAGCTGGTTCTGTCACACCACTGGGGCCAGTTTCATCTTATTCTTTTTAAACCTCCTTGAGAGGTAGACATAATAATTGCCAAATCTGCCTTCTCATCTTTGGTTATAATACCACAACTTTGAGTTTTTCATTCAGAAACATGATGATGTTGTTTCAAACAATGTCAAGGCAGCATATTTTGAACATACACACACATATAAAACCACCACAGTTTACGGAATTTATATTTCTTTAAACAAAAAGACAACTATAATCAAAACAACCCTCTCCTGCCACTCTACGTCTTTATATACAAACACACACAATCTGATGATGAGAAACTGGTTTTGATTTGCTATAAGCCAGCAAGATGATTTTGAGCTAAATTCTTCTTTGGGCTCAGTTTCATTAATCATAATATAAAGGCATTTATTGGATGACCTCTAGGTCCTTTCTATGTTAAGTCCATATATGAATCTGATGTTTATAAATGAAATTATTATGTACTGCTATCAACAGAGATTGCTTTAAAATGAATAATTTAATAACAGGAATCATCAGGGTTATATATACATATACATATATTTTTTGGTAGCTGGTTGATATGGGGATCTGAACCTGTGACCTCGGTGCTACCAGCACCACACATACCCTAGTGAGCTAAACGGCCAGGGCCATAGTTATATATTTTTTCATCTCTAAATTGGGATGATGAACTTTGCCGAAACTATCTCATGAGGAGATGAGAGCGAGAGATGATACACATGAAAATACTTTCCAAACTGTAAACATCTACGCAAATGCCATGTGATCTGAATTTTCACATTGAAAAAGGCTTCTCTCACCTTTGCCAGGGAGCTACTGTGTCTTCTCATTTCACTGCATTTCAACGCCCTTTCTTGTGCATTGTTATTGTCTACTATATCTGTCTCTCTGGCAAACTGAATTGCTTGGAGGCCTCAAGAGGAACTCAAATACTTGCTGCCTGACTGAATGACTAAAAGAATGAATGCAAATTTGGATGACGTTAGTTATTATTCTCACACTGGCCAGAAGGTCAGTCTGGTTACCTTTTTCCTGTGGCATGTGCAAGGGAAGAGGTCGTCCTCGGTTTGTGGTTCTACCCTCTTCATGCCCTCTCGGATTTGGGGCTCACTCACTTGTAAACTGGCATATTCCTGTTTCAACAACAATATAAAAGCATTCCATATACAACACTTTGAGTATATTCACCAAACTATTCATGCTAAAGTTTATAAGGCTATGATCCATTTAACTCACGTGTCAAACTGTGATCTGCAAAGTCCTCCGTAACCTGCTCCCCCCAAACACCCAACAACAGAGCTGCTGAGAGGTGGCTGTCCTTTGAACACTGGCTGCCTATTCCCAAACACATCTCTTATTATTCTGTCCTAAATTTATATTACTTTTTTTAAAACCACTTTCTGCCTTATAGTAAAAATAATTTTGCACGATCTTCTCTAGACTGAGAATTTGAAGACAAAGACTATTTCTGCCTTCTCCACCACGGCTCGCATGCACAAGCCTCAATCATCATCTTCATTTTTTATGTTCTTATTCTGGGCTAGACATTGTGCTAAGTACTTACACTAAATATCAGCTGAATGAATGAATACTACCCTGTGGATCTTTACAAATTCACATAGTAAATCCCTCTAGTTCACTCATTTTACACAGTTCACCCTCTGCATCCCTTCATCATTTCCTAGGGAAGGTTACAAAATGGGAATGGGCCAGTACAGACCAGAAATAGAGCAACTTTGTTCTGTAGCAGAGCTTAAGACATGGGACTCAGTATCTGTAATTCTGAGATAAAAATCTTAACCGAGATCTAGTACTACTATTAACAAATGAATTGTTTACTACTGCATTGTTAAAAGAGTCTTTTAGACAGATATGCTTTGATTACAATCCTTATATGCTTAGGTCCATGGAAAGAATTTCCAAGGGAAGTCATGGCTCATATGGGGTCAAGACAAAAGGTCAAAAACACCATAAACAAAGAAATGGTAAGGTGGGGACAATTCATACAAAAAGAAAATATGAATCCATGCACAGTAACTTTGCAGGATCACAGACAAATTTCCTAACCACATACCACAGAGTTCTGATATTGACACTTTTCACTTGGTTGTAACATTCTCCATTAGCTCATCTTTGGTTTTCAAGTATTTTAAAAATTATTCCTTAATATTTGTTTCTTATTTTCACTCACAGAAGTACATACAAGCGTACTCCAAAAGTCCACGGAAGAATACGATTAAAAGATAATATGAATCTTTCCATGAACTTTTTTAAGACCCCTCATATATCTCCTTAAATTAATATACTTTTAGAAATTGTTAAGTAAAATATTACTTGTTCTTAACATGTCCAATTATAAGTTATATGACTATTTTCTTGGAAAACACTGACCTGGAAAAGTTTGAAATAATAACAGAATATGTCATTGCCCATGAGATTATTTCTTGCAAATTCTTGTCCTGCTTTTGCTATTTTCTTTGCCTGAGGAACAAAAAAATCCTTATTGGAACATATTTTCTCCCATGCAGATGCATGCAAACTGATCTTCAGAGTACACTGTAAAAGTGGGACACTAGTGGGAAACATATCTTCGGGGGTAGTCTCATGTGATAAAAAGAACGTTTAACAGAGTATATTTGTTCAAATGAAAGGGAGATTTTTAAGGCTTGAAAGTCTGAGAGGTCATATTGGGCCCTGCAGAATGAAGTCTCTCTTGGAGAGGGAAGGCTTACATCAAGTGAAGTAGCAATGATTTTGTAAATGAAGCTATATTAATACCCTGTGTTCCAATTTTCAGCAGTCAATTAGCTTATTTACATAATCCCTCATTTTAATCCATAGCACAGTTAGTGACTCCTCCTGCCAAATTGGCCATCTTAATTTTCACATAGAGGAGTGTTTGTGGCTCAGACAACCCTAATGAAAGAAAAAGGTTTAGCTTTTTGTTTTAAATGCAGAGTAGACAGTTAATCTAAGACACAATGCCTGTGTTCACCCTGAGGGGAACTGCTGTGCTATCCATGGGCAGACAGCTTCCCATTTACAGGTAAAAGTCCCTGTCTGAGCATCCTGAATGCTCTCCAAGCACAAGATGTTTCAAAGAGACCCGTGCTATTGGGGTATGAGTGGAAGTAAGCCTTCTAGTAGACTGACCTTACCTCTTCATCGTGATCTTTTGCCCATTTAAGTTTTTCTAGCAGATCACTCAGGTTGCTTTTAACTGGAATGTAGTGTGTCCAGGCCTGCAGCTCATTGTAAAAGTGCTCGTAGTAGATAGAGTCCTGCTTCAACACAACACTGTCGCCGACCAGTAGATACGGCATTCGATAAGCCGCGACAGTGCCATCAATGTTTATTTGATACTTATGCTGCAAAACAGCAGTGAAGTATAAGAACCTCCATTAAATTTCCTTTTTCCCACTCTCTGTTCTCCAACCCTTTCTACAAATGAACATTTGCTATCCTCTGATACAAAATGGTCAAATTCAGCATCTGCCTTCTCCATTTAGTAAGCACTATTACGTAACATGCTGACCTGGAGCTAAAAGCTCATTTCAGTGCACTACTAAATTTCCCAAGGGGGCACCAAAACTAATATTGAAATAGCCAGTAAAATAAAACTGTGTGCTAAGGCTATAACATCAGGAAAGATAGATTTGTGATGTAATTCCTTTACTACTTTAGTGACTACACATGTGCACCTAACAATGGCACATTCTGTGTCACATTAACTGTGTTTTTAAAATACCAGATGGTCACACATGTCTTAAGGAAATTAACAAGCTCTGGAGCAAGGGCATCTATAAACAAAAATATTGATAGAACTGTGGTAATCAATAGCTTCTAGTTGTAAAAAATTCAACAGGCAGGGATAAAGCCAAGGCTTTGTAACACCCTTCCCTCTGAGCAGGAATGCCTAGTATCTGGTCTCTTTGGTTCTAATGATTTCTTTCAAAGTCTTTGAGATATGCATACGAAAGAAAACACAGACAATTCTACTTATAACATTCTTTAGGTCTACCTACCTCCACATAACCTACCAAGAGCAAACCTGGCCATCTGCAGGGCAGACAGAGCTCAGTAATCACTTGCATTCCCCCATAGACAGGTGACTACCTTCTGCCCACCTGTCTTTCCACCACATGGGACTTCAGAAACCACTGAGTGATCTAGAGAGCAGGGCAGTGCCTACTGTCTGAAAAAGGGAGCTATTAGAAAAAGGAGTATTCCCTGGGAAACATGAGCAATCCAGATTCTAGACACAGAACAATCCCTGATCCCTAGAATTCCTAGGCAGAACATGTGGGTGGGTTGCAAGACATTCCCCACCACAAGGCCTGATAAGAGACCCCTGATTTATATCTTCTTTAGTTTGTTGCAATGCTATGGCTCTAGGAAAAAATATTTGTAAAATGACTTACATGTACTTATTAATAAAAAAGGATTTGGAGCTGACATTTGCTTATCTTAAGGATTAGCTGGAAAAAAATTACAGCTCTACCCAGCTCCAGGGTCCCTCAATGCATACTGAGTGTGAGGGCTGGGTAGTGAGTACAGACCCAGGTTGCAAACCAGTCCCCGGCCTCTATGCCTTGATATTCACTAAACCTTGTGATCACCTCTCCCATTCCCTATAATTTACAGGCTTCAATTTCCCTTCCCCAAAGCATTATTTACACATGAACAACAACAACAACAACAGAGAAAGGATTGGCCACTGATGATGTCATACCTTGAAGAAATCAAAAAATGAAATGTGTTTCACAATGGGACCATAGAGGCTTTCATCGTGTTTAAAGAAGAAAAAGTTCGTGAAAGCAGCATCTATGAGGTCAGGGTGTTTTCTACTGAGTTTAACCAGCTCGAGTCTCTCTTTGCGGCTGTCTCGCCCTCTCCAGACAGCTGTGGAGTTTTTGCTTTCCCAGGGAGGACCAGTGTTAGCTTGCACAGACATCATATCCAGACTTACTCTAGAAGACAGGAAGTGCAACAGATTTTCCTCCCAAACCATCACATCCCAAAGGCTGTTGGAAAAGAACTCACCAAAGAAAGCAAACCAAGGCTCTGGGTCAACCCTGGCCCATCTCTCACCGGCCCATGGTTTCTAGGACAGAGTCAGTCAGGTCGTAGGTAGGCATCACAATATCCCTGGAATCTATGGAGCCACACCAGGAAAAGATCGGATGGATGTTTGAATTGGACTTCTTTTTTTCTAAAGGCCAGTCTCCCAAATTAACAAAAAACTCCATGTCTGGCATCTTCACCTGGGAAAAAGAAAACAAAGAGCTTATTCACATTACTGCATTGGATAATACCTTATAATTATGAATTAAAATTAGAAATTGCACCAAATGAAAGGCCAATCTTACAAGTTTCAGGTAAAGATGATGACCTTGGTTTGGACAGTGGGCCATATTTTCAGAATATGGCCATATGTATAAACATTCTAGGTTTTCTTTCTATGGTGTTGAAATTGGCCAACAGGCTTACTACAAAAGGGATGAAATGGCAAAGGTAATCTCCGTTCTAATGCTGCCAAGAGACTCTAAGATGACCAAGGAGAGAAAGGGAATTACTGGAAAGAATGAAAAAGCAGCACTTGGGACTCTAACTCTAGTTTCTTGTTAAAATGGAAGTGAGGTAGGCAGTGGGAACAGGATTCAAACTCAGGAAGCCTAACACTAAGGTCAGTATAGTAACTTCTGAGCTATGCTGCTTCTACTGACAAACATGTGAACACGTTGAAAGGTCCTGTTTTATCTAGCCATGGAAAATGCTCAGAGTATTTGCAAAACAGGAGATACATATTTTTTAGGCAAGAACTCTGTTGGTCAGTCTGAGAAGCATCTGAGAAATGGGGGTCCTGAAGAACATTCTTATTTTTTCATGGATTGACAAAGCAAGAAAAATCTGCCAGTACGCTGATGACTTAGCTTAAAGGAGGCATGATACTGATGCTATGTAATTACTAATATTCAGAATTAACTGACTGTAAATGCTTTGCGGTCTTAAAAAGAAAAGTACTATGATTTTCCATGAATGATTCAATCAAGTTACGTACACAGATTATTCAATAAACAAATATTATAATTGATTATAAATAAATATACAATTGTTAAAAATGTTCGTATAATTTTCCATATTAGCCATTTTAATTTAACTGCCAAAGTATTCCACTAAATAGAATTTAGAACCTAAAGCACATTATACCAAGGAACAGTATTCAGTATAAGGCAAGTCTTCTTTGGACTCAGTGTAGGTTTCATACCAAAATAATTTTTAGCCTCCAGAACTGTGAGAGAATAAATTTCTGTTGCTTTAGGCCACCCAGTTTGTAGTAGTGTGCTTTGCTACAGTAGCCCTAGGAAACTAATACAATACCCTACACGACATAAAACTTCAGAATAGTATTCTAATAAGGCTCCAGGACAGAACACCCCTGATATTGCTATTATTTTTATTTTGCAAAATTATATTGTAAAACAAAAGATTAAACTGTCTATTACATATAAGAGAAAATATATACTTGCCTTTCTAGTCAAAGAAAGTAGTATGGCATCCATGAAAATTCTAAACCCCACATGTTCACCATGAGTCTTGATGTAAACCTGAAAGAGAATTTTACATTTAGTTAGTCTAAAAGTACTGGCACACTTCACTGAAGAAAAGCTTGTCATAATGATCCTCATTAGAATGATGCTTAATAAAATTATTTAGTTAATTATAGACAAGTGGTCAAAACAAAACAAAACAAATCACTAAAACAAACACATCAATCATGTGCTGTACCTTGTTATCCTTCAAGGTGTAGTGACACAAGCTCTGCCTCTGTCCAAATCTTTTTGGGATTTCAGTTGCAATCTTTTCCGGATCAACGGTAGGGAAGTGTGCCAGATCCCTCTGAATCTGAGTAATGGTCTCTGGGCAGTTCATCTCCTGAAGCCAGGCTGCACTGTCTTCCAAAGGACAGTCACAATTCTCATGGTAGACTGGCCCTATTCACATACAAATGACAAAGTACAACAGTAACAATTCCACTCAGCATCTGAAACATATAACAAATATCCATATTGTGACTTCATGAATTTTGCCTAGTTAGGGCATTTTGATCAAAGACACATTTTAAAAGAAGTACATTTTTATTACATTGGTGCATTGATAGTAAGTCATCCTTGTATTCTGGCAGCTCTTCACAGTGAAGTCTTGAGATATTTTCATAATCAGGTCTACTGTACATGAGTTCAAAAGAAAGCCAATGGGTACTAATTTATGTTCTCTAGTGGATATTATAGTTCATTATTCTTTGTTTTGTGTACTTAAGAATAACCAAACATTGGTAAAAGGATAATAGAGGAGTACACCTGTTTTAATGAAAGACAAAAGTGATATGAATTAATATTTCTGTGGTCTATTATACAAACAGGTTCTTAAAGTGTCTAAGGCACTTTTCTCAATGGCTGAATCATCATCAATAACAACAAAAGTAAACAAAGACCTACTACGCTTTAAAAAAAATTATAAAGGGGCAAAAGCAACCCTCAAAACAATTCATTTAATTAATATTACAATGAGTTAATTATACATTGATAGGAATAACGCTAACATAACAGAATTTGAATTTAGATTTTTATTGTCATTTCCTTCTTTAATTCTCAGATTCCTACCTGAGCCAGGAAGCAGTTGACAATGGAATATCTTTTTAAGGTTTAGCAGGTTATACTATAGCATGTGGTTCTGATGGAAGGTAGGAAAGGAGTCTGGATGTTTTTTAAAAACATTTACCTTTCTTTGGAATGGGAAGGGAGACAAAGAAGATTCCTGCCTTTGTATACACACTGCTTCCCCACTGTTTTGGGGTACTGTCTCCTCTGGGAGGGAAGGAGATGGCCCTAGGTAACGAAGCTGTACTCTAATAAGAAAACATCAGAGAATTTCTCTGGGAAAATGGGATTGGAATGAAGACAAAAAAACAATAGCACCCCCTCCCCCTCCTTGCTTCAAGCCATCTCCCTTCCTGAAGTGATCTACCAGATTTCACAAATAACACTTATCCATTACTTAAGTCATATATCTCCAATTAAGAAAGTATCATATATGACCATATACATAGCTTTATTATTCTTGCTAATGTTGTGTCTTCAGGGAGCGAATTCTTTATTAATATGTTCCCTGCTCTTTAGTGAATTATAATTTCCATTTAAATCTTGAATTTCTCTCTTTTACCAGGACTCCTAATTTAGCTTTCGAGTAGGAAACATCTATTTTTTTCTTTCAGTAAAAAAAAAAAAAAAAGCTGAGTTATTTTTGTTGATGGAATGATTATTACATTAATAAAATTGTTATTTATAATTAACACATGTATTGTCATATTCAAATACTGTTGTTATAAAATTATGTTCCAAATTACCTTTTAAAATATATGGAGATTTGGCCACATGTTGACCTTGGAATTTAACTTCTATCTTCAGATTTTTGTAGCTTGCATACATCCTATATCTTACTATGAAGGACCCATCCTTTCGGTCTAAAACCTGGACTCCAACTCTAGTGAACTGCTCATCTGGTGCTGAGATTTTAACCTGGAAAACCTTTTCACCTGGAGAAGATGTGAATCTGTGATGTGAAGAGTAATAAGATACAAAGATTATTATTATCATTATTATTTTAAATTCAATTTTATTTATATTTATTTTTGTGGGGTACAGTGTGTTGTTTCAGTACATGCATATACTGAACAATGATTCACTTAGGTTAGATAGCATAGTTTTGTCCCCATTAGTTCACCCCTAATGTTCCCCCTCACTCCCACCCCTCCCAGCCTCTGGTAACCATTATTCTGCTTTCTACTTTTATAAAGATTATTTTAAGGAACAAACACACAAAGATTATGCTCATCAGTCTGTAAACTTTATTATTCACCTCTACATTCTCCCTCTAACATATGCTTGCTTATTTCTTAGTCTTTTAGTAACAGAATGAATATGATGGATCTGAGATTTTAAAAAAAGGATGACAGTGGCCAGATAACATAAAACAGAGTCATTAGACAATCTCGAGGGAATATGTTAAAACTACAAACCTACATAATCTCAGAACACATATGCTTTCCATACATAAAGACATTCTTACCAACCTATTTCATGCCCGTCATATGGAAATTTGTAATCAAATCCTACCTCCAAAGATAATGATCTCATTTTGAAAAAATCTCTGCCAAGATTCTTAAACATATCAGTATTGTAACTCATGCTCAGCCATGGGCAAAAGCAAAGTAGGTAGTGTATCGAAATTTACAAGTGTCGAAATTTACAATCTTCCTTTGCTTTGGAAAACTTTCAATTCCTAAGAATTTTTCCACTACAAAATAAGTATACACGGTCAGCATTCAACATTAATAGACAATCATTTCTTTATTAAAATAAAGACGTATGTGAATTATAAATGTAAGCTGTAAGTATAATTTCAAAGTACTGAATTCATTGGAATGAAGTAAACGTTTGCTCCAATCATATAGGAGATTCATACTTTGATACTTTCCCTCCAAACTCTAAAGTTTCAAACTGTACTCACTTTTCTTTTTGAGTTTCAAAACTTGCTTACCTGCAGATGTCTACCTGAAAATTGAAGGCAGCACCAGAGAAAGGTGAAGTTGACCCAGTCTCTAACAACCGGTTTAAATTCCTTATAACAGCTTATAGGAAAAGTAGTTAGAAATAGCACTTCCAGCAAAGTAGAGGGGCTTTGTCTTGCCCTGATAATGCGGGAATCCCTATCAAAATAGCTAGGAGAAGAGTTATTATTATATTACATGACATGTATTATAATTCAGAATCACTTCTAAAGCTACAGAGGGAAATTGATTGGGACGAGGAGCCGGTTACTATCCAGATACGTGCCCAAATATCCTGGAACTTAAACTGCTGTGGAGAAACGTATTCTTGGGCAGATAAAACTAGAGGGAGAAACAATAAGTTTGAACGGCAATCCAAGATAGTTAAGAAGCCGTTTCTCGACTTACTTCTTCCCTGATGTATCCACCGCCTGAACATAGAAATAGCGGGCGGGGAGGACGACATGTGCTTTTAGCCCTGGTCCCCATATTTCGCTCTTCTCCGGGCTCAGTCGCCTCTCTCCGCCGGTCTCGGCAAGCGCTGGAAACGCTCCCAGAAAGAAGCAGTAAATCAGCAAAATGCTAAACATTTACAAGACGGACTCCAGAAATAATCCACGGATAAACGAAGACGTGCAACCAGCCGGGGCTTCGGCAGCGGCAAGTTGGCAGATCACAGCAGCAAACACGGCTCCAAGGGCTTCGCCTGCGGTGCAGGCGGCGTCCCCAGGGAAGATCACTCCCGGAGCGTTGGCGTGTCCAGGTGGAGGGAGCCAGTCGTTCTGCTGAAACGGCCAAGAAGCGCGCTACTCTGCTTTCTCGGGACAATGACACACTCGTGCGGCTCCTGCCACTAGAGCATCATCTGCGGGCGAATCCGTCCTAGGTTTCAGCCAAGGTGCACGGCGAGGGGATTGGCCCGCGTGCCGGGCCGGGCTTAGTAAGGCCTTCTCCGAGTGGATGGCGGAGGGGACACGGGTCCCGGCGCCCTGGGCTCCCTGGGACATGTAGTTCACGACAGGACTAGTAGAAATCCTGCCAGCTCTTACCGTCTGTCACCCACTTATTTACTTTTCGGTCACCGCTTTCGGGGATCACACAAATACTACAGATGCCCAATAGAGGGGCACGCGGGTCTGGAGGCACAGCTAGGATATATAAATATATTTTTTGTCACCATATCCTCCGCACGTGCAGAGAGCAGGCGTAAAACACCATGAAAGAGAGGTGTTGTCAATGATACTCGACGACCGGTCGCCGGGCACCGCAGTCCAGGGCGCTGTCCCCGCGCGCTCCGATGGGACGAGAGACGCCAGCCCCAGGGTAACCAGAGGCGCGTCGCCGGCCGCGCGCTGGAAGCTGTGATCCGGTGCCAGGTTCCGCCACCGGGTACCGCCGCGGCCGCAGCGACCCGACCCGGCTGGACAGGCCAGAGGTACCCCGCGGGGAGGGCACGGACTGAAGTGGCGGCCGGCTGGGCTCCCTGCGCGCCCGGCTCTCCGCGGGGCACTCGGGCTCCGCCACCCGGGCCTGCTGTCGCCCTCTTGCTCTAGGCGCCCTCAACGCCGCCTGGGCTGCGAGGGGTCATCGCCTCTCCGGAGCCCTATGGGCGTCCGAATGGAGGCCACTGCATCGCGCCAGTCTTCCCGGGAAGGAGTAGGGTGAGGAGCTGAGTCCCAGGGGGCAGAGAAGCGCCAGGGAGGGTCCTCTCTGGATCAAAACTCTATTCGGAGATGCCCTCGTGGATACCGGTGGCCCCCGTCCGGCCGCCCGTCTCCACGCCACGATCGGCGGGGCCCGAGCACCCAGCGCGCGGTGGCTGTCCTCTCCACCTGCACGCCCGCAGCCGGGCCAAGGTCGCCACCAGGAGGCGGCGCGGGTGCGCGGCCCGCGGGACGCCCCACGGTCAGCTCGAGAGTCGGACCCGGAGCCTCCTCCTCCGCCTCCCTCCCTCTTGCCAGCTGTCCCGAAAACCCAGACGGCCGGGTGGCCCTGTGAGCCAAAGCGGGCCTGGTCGGGGGCCAAGGCAGGGGGTTCTTTTCGATTTTCGTTTTTGTAATTGCCATTATTGGTGATAGCTAATCATTTATTCAAAAGTCCGAATCGGGGGTTCCCCTCTTCACCCAGCTACAGTAACTGCCCGCGTCCCACCCGCTCCGGTGCCTTTAGCACCCCCGGGAGCGTCCCCGGGTCCCGGGCATGTTCCAGGCTGTGGCCCTCGGACCTCCGCGCGCTCCCCCTGGCGGCGAAGCCGGTCTTCCGGCGGGAGGAGGGGTCGGGAGGTCTAGGCCGTCCTCGGCCGGTGCTGGGACTGGGGCCGCCCGGCCCTCGGGAGGCGCGCGGGGGCGCGGGGTGGCGCGCCGGCCGGGGTGGCCGCGCAGAGGAGGGCGGTGGGGACCCTCCTGGCCTCCCCGGAGTCCGGGCTAGACACGGGCCCCGTGCGCCGGAGGAACCCGGTATCCTTCCGTAGGCCGGCGGCCTCTGCTCGGGAAGGGGCCTGGCGGGCGTGGGGAGGGCGCCGGTGGCGAAGGACGGAGGCAAGACCCGCCGAGCCTTAGCGCTGTGGTCTCGCCCTCGCACGTATCCGCCCCGTAGTAAGTCACTTAACTGTCCCTGCGTCTCAGTTGCCTTCTATACAGAACATGGGTCATAATATTTGTCATATGTGGAAGGCGTTACTGAAGAGATGTTTAGTTCTCTAATAAACTTGATCCTTAAGAACGCTGGCTTAAAATATAACCTGGCAAGAATATAACCTGGGCGATGAATATTGGCTTTACAAACGGAATGTTTATTTTACAGGACAGTTCATTCTAATGACTTTAAAAAATCATTACTCTAGTGGTGCATTTAAAGCTTGCCATTTTATAATTTTGCTTTGCACACAATGAATCAATACCGTTGCTTGTGGCATGATTTTATGAATATATCATTAAGTTGAGCCTTAGGTGCTGTTATCATTCTTATTACTACATCTTAATATAGTGACACTTCACTTTATTTTCTAACAGCTGCTCACAGGTCAAATTAGAAATGTCATCTCGTCGGGGTGTGTGGGGGAGCTGGGAGTGGGCATGGAATTGGGAATGGTTTATAAATATAGACACAAAAGGAGAGAGATGTGGCAAAACCGTGACAGCTGCAGGCTATTAAGTGGAGGGACAAACTGCCCTTTTATATTTCAGTATTTCCGGAGGTTACAATTACAACATAATACAATAATCAGTGTCTGTAACGATTCTGATATCAGTGATAAACTATTTCACTTTAAGAAAGCTGGGATCTGAGCAAAGTACTGGGGACACAGTAATAGAAGCCTCCTTGGACTCATGGAGCTCTTGCTGTAGTAGGAGAATAGACATGAATCACATAATATGGAAGGGAAATAAACATTAGCAGTATTGGGGTCATGGGTTTGGATAATTTTCATTTTCTGTGTAGCATCTTTTTGCACATTGCAATTTTTTATGTAATGTGTTTTCCTTATATAATAAAATCCCTAAATATTACACAAATTTTGAAGGAGAAATTATCATAAAGTGGTTCAAATGAGAAAGTTTTGATGTGACCATATAAAATACATACTTATGTCGATAATCTTAACTTTTTTCTTGGTAAAACTGCAATCAAAGAGATCATTCTTGTTCAGTGCTCATTATTTAAAAGCAAAGAAAACAAAAACACAAACAAACAAAACCAGATGGTTATCTTTTTTATTAATCAAGTGCTATATTCTAACTTTTGTGCACAAATGCAGTAATTTCCGTTTGCCTATGCTTTTGATCAGAATGTTGTCCTGTATATATTCCACACGAGCATACTTCATAAAATCCCTACACTGCCAATGCAGAGCTGTCCCCACAGGCAAAATTCCATTCAGTTTGAGGAAGGAAGCTATTGCAAAGTGCAAGCTGAACTCGAGCTGGGGATATGAAAAGTGAACATTTCTCTCTCCTGGAATAGTTCTCTCTCCCCTCGCCAAACTAACTCCAGTGACCTTTGCTCTGTGCCCTGTGAACGTGCTCTGTTGTTTCTCACCTACCACAACCCACCCACACAACCCCCAGCACCACAAATACATACCCACCTCTGTCCACCACACTGGCTTTTAGAGAAAGGCATGAGGATCACAGATAAGTAGAAAATGCTGTTCTAGGACATCTACGAATCAGAGAAACCATTTCCTCAACAAAGACCAGAGTTTGGTCTGTATAACCGCAGGTGTGAGCTTTCCTTTACATCTTTCCCCACTATCACCCTCACGCCAGGAAATGTGTAAGGAGAAAGCATAAATGCTTCCTGTCTAGGGATCTACTACACCTACTCCTAAGATTTCTTTACCAAAAAGAAAGTGAAAGTTTTCAGAGTGAAATCAGTGGAGGCTCCACCTTTGGTGGTGATGCTGCTACCAAGCCGACCCTCTTGCAAACAACTATAAACTGCACAAATGGCTAAAACACCACTACCTGCAGGTTTGGATAGACAGAAAGCATTCCTTAAAAGTAAAGAAAATGGAATCTTATTCAGCACAAGTCATAGTCCTCCTTATATAGAGCTTTTTTCCTTAAATTACATGAAAAACACGTAGCACTTTTGCTAGTTTCTCCTCAAGGGCTCTTGTGTGAATCGTCTGCTGTTTTTTTTATAGCTAAGTCATAGGTTTTGTTATTAAGTATTTGTATGATGGTTTTGATATGATTGTTTTTCTATAACCTGTGAAAGTTATTTTCATTTCTAATTTTATAAGTAAGCAAATGGGCAAAGATATTAACTGGTAAAAGTCAAAGTGATCACCCAGGATGGGTGGAATCTCCCAAGTGCTGCTCCATGGCTGGCGCCCTGAGAAACAGGCACACTCTGCCCAGGCACCTGCGTAGGGTTCTCTCCTCATGACCTGTGATGTTTTGATTCACCACGGGCTTCCTTTTGTATAAATCTTCAGCTTTCTCAAATGCCCTGGCTGCTATTTAAACTTTTCTCTGTTTTCTTCCCCAAAGGAATCAGTCTGGATTTGAAATTTGGTTTTTCCTGGGACTGATCACAAGTTAGTGACAACTGGATTGGATCTACTTTTTTGCCAGGTAAAGGCTCTTTTAAAAATTAAAATTCTGTATTTTTTATTGATTTAAATCTATAACTATTATTCATTATGTATCCTTTATGCCTATACACTTTTAAAAATAATTTTGCTAATGCATCATTTTTTAGACAGCTTATTGAGATATAATTCATACACTGTACAGTTCACCCATTAAAGTGTACAATTCAGTAGCTTTTAGTATATTCACAAAATTGTGCATTCATCACCCCAGTCAATTATAGAATATTTTCATTACTTCGAAAAGAAACCCCATCACTCCCAAATCCCCAGCCCTATGCGACCACTAATTTGCTTTCTGTCTATAGGTTTACCTATTCCACACATTTTATTTTATTTATTATTTATTTATTTATTTATTTTGTCTTTTTCCGTGTCCAGCAACGGATCGCAACCCTCAGTGTTGCCCCCGTACTGGACCGGGGACCGGCAACGGGATTGCAACCCTCGGTGTTGCTCCTGCGCCTCGCTCAGCCAGTGAGCGGGAACCGGTCCATATGTGGGATCTGAACCCTCAGGCGGGAGCGCCGCCGCGCTTCCCAAGGGGCGCACTATCCAGTGCGCCACCGGGCCGGCCCTCCACACATTTTATATGAATGGAATCATACACTATCTGGTCCTTTTGTGGCTGGCTTTCCCTTAGCATAATGTTTTCAAGGTTCATCCATGTTGTAGCATGGATAACTACGTCACTTCTTTTTATTGCCATATAATATTCCATTGTATGTATATACATATTTATCTGTTCATCAACTGATGGACATTTGGGTTGTTTCCAGTTTTGGGCTATTATGAATAATGCTGCTATTAACATTTATGTGGACATGTTTTCATTTCTCTTGGGTACATACCTAGGAGTGAAATTACTGTACCATATGGTACTCTATGTTTAAACTTGTGAGGAACTGTTCCAAAATGAGTGGACCGTTTTACATTTCCACTAGCAGTGTATGAGGGTTCTGATTTCTCCACATCCTCACCAACACTTGTTATTACCTGCCTTTTGAATTATAGCCATCCTAGCGGGCATGAGGGTGGTATCTCATGTGGTTTTGACCTGCAGTTTCCTGATGCCTAATGATGCTGAGCATCTTTTTGTGTACTTATTGGCCATTTCTATATTGTCTTTGGAGAAATGACTGTTCAGATACTTTGCCTATTTTTTAATTGGGCTATTTGTTTTTTTTTTTTTATTATTCTAATACATCATTTAAAAATAAATTAAATAAAATAAATGGACAGGGATCGTGACTCTCGGTGTATGGTAGTTGTAAAATAATATTTATTGAATGAAGGCATATGAATAATACTTGATATGGTTTTCAGTGCCATTTGTGGTGTCTGGTGGATTGTTGATCATTCTTTCTCTTCCGTCTTTCCTTAGGAGCCCATTTTTACAGCTCTCAAGTTTTTATAGAATGCTGTAAACAATTGTCAAAGTTGTTTTTCAAGAAACTGAAAGAGTTGCAACTTCTTTCCAGTAACAGAAACTTTTATAGTTGCATTCAATGCCTAACATTGTAGAAACAGAAAGGTCAAACGATTCTGGAAATGGCGAGCACAAATCTGAGAGAAAGTCTCCTGAAGAGAATTTTCAAGGTGCTGTAAAATCTTTCTGCACAAGTGCCTCAGGAGCACCCTTGGGTCCCAAAGGGGATGGCCACTATCCGTGGAGCTGTCCAGTGACTCATACTCGGGAAAAAATTTATGCCATCTGCTCAGACTATGCCTTTCTCAACCAGGCAACCTCAATCTATAAAACTCCAAATCCAACCCGTTCTTCTTGCCTCACTGATAGTACCTCTTTATCTGCTGGAAATAATTCATCAAGATATGTTGGTATCCCGACAAGTACATCTGAAATCATCTATAATGAAGAAAATAGCTTGGAAAACTTATCCAATACCCTGGGCAAGCTACCTCTCGCATGGGAAATTGATAAATCTGAATTTGATGGGGTGGCCACAAATTTGAAGCACAAATCAGGTAAGGAAGGAGCCATGAAGTGCGTATGTGAAAACAAGGGGAAAACAAACACTGTATCTTGTTTACCGTTGCGATTAAACATGTTTTCCTGTTATAATACTGAACAAGGAACATTGCTATCATCTGGTTTGTCACTGTAGTTAAAAAAATAACCTTGGACATAGGACATTTCATTAATGCGTTGCCACTGAAAACTTCAAGCATAAGCTTTGCATTTTGAGAGCTTTGAAAATCTAAGGATCCTGTAAAATACAGGTATTATAAACAAGTACATGGTAGCTTAGAAAGTGTTAATGACATGTCTAGAATACCATACTGCTATTTCATATCATAGTTTTTCAGGGACATGAATTTATACTTACTGACTAAACATCTAGTTTTCTTTTCTATTATATAAACTTGTGGGTTTTTTGTTAAAATTTTTTGACCAGCTGCAAGAAAAAAAAAAATGTGAGCATCCAGCTAGGCCTCCATGTACCACTGAGCAGGTTGTATACTGCACAATTTAAGAGGGTGTCTTTCACCTAGAGTCAGCACAACCTTCACAACTACAATGGCAGATACTAATGCTTTTCACTTTTCTTTTGAACTCACAATAATATAGGAATTTTGTGAAGTATGTACTTTTATCCTTATTTTATAGGTGAAGAAATTGAGTCTCAGATGGGATAAGTCTTTTGCCCAAAATTGCACAGCTTGTAAGAGGTAGAATGAGGATTTGTGTTTTACTTCTTGGCTTCTCTGATCATTTTGCAAAACCTCTATACTTCTGTTTGTTCATTTGCAAAATCAATGTGTTTCATAGAATGTTGTGTAAATTTATAATTCTCTGGGGTGTGAGGGGGATTTCACTTTGTATCTATTTATCAGTGATGGGTGTATAATTTTTTGTAATGTCTTCTCAGATTTTGGAATTAGAGCTATGCAGGTCTCCTAAGACACATTGGGAAGGGTTCTCTCCTGTTTTCTGAAAGTTTCAGAGGGATTAAAATCTCCAACTATAATTATGGAGTTTGCTTGATGATTCCCATTACTTTCTGACAAATATTAGTTTGTTAATTTCATCTAAGTTGTCAAATTTGTGGGCATAAATGTATTATCCTTCTAATATCTATAAGGTCTTTAGTGATAACTCCTCTTTCATTCCTGATACTGGTAATTTATATTCTTTTTTTTCTTGATCAGTCTAGCTAGGGGTTTGTCAGTTTTGTTCATCTTTTCAAATAACCAGCTTTTAGCTTTGTTAATTTTCTCAATTGTTTGTTTTCTATTTAGTTGACTTCTGCTCTTTATTATTTCTTTCCTTCTAAATACTTTGGGTTTACTTTGTTTTCTGACTAAAAATGGAAGCTTAGATCATTGATTCAAAACTTTTCTACCAAAAGCATATCGTGTTCTAAATTGCTCTCTAAGTACTGCTTTGGCTACAGCCCAGGAATTTTGATACACTTTATTTTTATTATTATTTAATTTGAAGTATTTTCTAATTTTCTTTATGATTTCTTCTTTGATACATGCATTACTTAGATGTATGCTGTTTAATTTCTAGGTATTTGGGGTTTTTCTAAATACTGATTTCTAATTTAATTCCATTGTGGACAGAGGACATATGATCTCAGTTTTTTTAAATTTGTTGACTCATTTTGTGACCCAGCATATGGTCTGTCTTGGTGAATGTACCATGTGTTCTTGAAAAGAATGTGCATTCTGCAGTCATTGGGTATAGTGCTCTGTAAATATTAAGGAGGTCAAATATTTGAAAGTGTTGTTCATATCCTCTGTGTCTCTAATTAATTTTTGTCTCGTTTTATCAATTGCTGAAAGAAGAGATTTAAAAATCTCCAACTATGATTGTAGAGTTAACTTTCTCCATTTCATTTCTTTTTTAATAATACATTTTTAAAACTGTGGTAAATGCAGATAGCATAAATTTACCATCTTAACCATTTTTAAGTGTACAGTTTGGTATCATTAAGTACATTTACATTGTTGTGCAATTGACACCACTATCTATCTCCAGGTATTTTTTAGCTTGCAAAACTTAAACTCTATACCCATTTAACAATAACTCCCCACTCCCTCTTCCCCCAACCCCTGGAATCTCCCATTCTGCATTCTGTTGCTATGAATTTGACTGCTCTAGGAACCTCATATAACTGCAATCATGCAGTATTGGTCTGTTTGTATTTGGCCTCTGTTCTTTTCTGGTTAGTATTTGCTCAGAATATCTTTTTCCATCCTTTCACTTTCAACCTATTTGTGTCTCTAGACCTAAAGTGAGTCTCTTATAGACAGCATATAGTTAGACCACATTTTTTTAATCCAATATGCCAATCTCTGTCTTTTGATTGAAGGATTTAATCCATTTTACATTTAAAGTAATTTATGGTGAGGAAGAATTTACTTCTGTCATTTTGCTATTTGTTTTCTATATGACTTACAGCTTTTTTGTCCCTCATTTCCTGAATTACTGTCTTCTATTGTGTTTAGTCAATTTTTTGCAGTGAAATGTTTTAATTTTCTTTTCACTTCCAATTTTTTTTTTGGTGGCTGGTTGGTATGGGAATCTGAATTTTATTGTTTATATGTGTATATTCTATAGTCATTTTGTTTGTGGTCACCATGGGGATTAAATTGTACATCCTAATGTTATAAACTAATTAGAATTTATGGGGCCGGCCCGGTGGCGCACTGGATAGTGCGCCACTTGGGAAGCGCGGCGGCGCTCCCGCCCGAGGGTTCGGATCCCACAT